ATATCATGCTTGCCATAGAATTTGTCCCAGTTATCAATGAATGGGACTGCAAGTTCCTTGCAGTACCTGTCTACCCAGTAATTTATACCATTGCCCACTCCCCTTCTAGGCAAGATGCAACATATTACTGGGATTCCTTCCTTAGACCCGACTACTTCTATGGCTGACCTGTACTTATCCAGTAGCTCCTGTCTCCTGCCCTTCCCAATGCCATTTTCACCAGCATAAAAAGAGATAATGGGCTTGTTCCCATTACCTGACCTTATATTATCCAAACTGACCCCAAAACCCTCTCCAGGTAAACTCCAGGTAAACCTGCTGACTATATCAACAACACCAGCTCCTGGGAGGCACACCCTCTGTCTGACTTTTCTATCTCTGTTACAAAAAGCACTGTCCATATATGTTACCTGAGAGTCTCCCACAATCAGAATATTCTTACCTTGATTAGCAGGGGAGTCAGAGGTTCCTTTAACCTCACTAACCACTGAAGTACATTCGTGTTGAAGAACAGAGAATCGATTTCCTACTTTCACATCTTCTTTATTAACCCTCTTTATCTTTCTTCTTTCTGAACTGTGAACCACTTATCATTTAAAGTGGCTGCCACTCTCACTGGTGGTAACCATTTCCTCTTTACCAGCAGCAACTATCTTACACTCGCTCCCAAACCCATCTAGGCGAAGCTTCAACCTCCTGTTTTCCTCCTGAAGAAGTAGAACCTCCTTCTTCAACCCTTTAACCTGAGATTCTAAAATACTACAACAAGCCATGGTACTGGGTAACACCCTACGCTAATACCCAGACAACTCAGGAAAGGTATGACCACACGTGACCACTGACCTCAGGGTACTGATAATGTCATTACTTGGCCTGTTATGTTCGTTACTGGTTGTCAAGGGCACTTGTCGATAGTGTGTGTGTAGACTAAGACTCAGTCACTCAACTCGTCTATCAAAGTTATGCTTCACCTGAGTATATATGATTGATGTATAATGACGGACCTGTTATTATTCACAACACTTCCCATACAATATATTCGGTCATCATACAATTTCCAAAGGATTTTTTTGCATCTGCTTTCATAAATCTTTTATATAAATTCACAAAAAGTATCGGAATTAATTTTGTCAACCAATCACCATCGTCGTCCAAGCTGCGCTAATTCATTCATGAAAATAGTCTTTACTCTTGTGTTTACTACATCTGTGTTGCCTGATAATATTTCTGCCCAGGAGAGAGAGAGAGAGAGAGAGAGAGAGAGAAAGAGAGAGAAAGAGCAGAACTTGAATTCCGCAACTGTGCAATATGCCCCAAGGATATTAATTAACATGGAAGGAATGAGAAAAATAAAATGATCCTAAATGGATGAAGAGAAGATTGAAGCATGTATTTAGAGTGAGAAAGTAATTTATAGATGCATCAAAAGAGGAGAGGATAACATTATTGACCAATATGCCCCATATTAAATGTCAGGTAAAGAAGGGAATTAGTAAGGGTAAACGTGACTATGAAATTAAAGTAGCTAGAGAATGGAAGACAAGTCGAAAAGGGTTCTTTCAAGTGTGTAGGAAAAAAATAGACCACTGAAAATGGAGGTGGGCAGCTTACTGATAGTGAAAGGAAATGTGTTTCTCTTTTAATAATTTTTTTGTTAAGTCCTTTACACAAGAAGACAAAAATAATACCCAGCAATTATTTTCAAGTGCTGAAGAAAAACTGTCACGAGGGACATGGTTATCAAACAAGTAGATAAACTAAAACAAATAGTTCCTCTGACTCCCACGAACTGTTTTCAAGATTACTTAAATAATGCACCTGGGAACCTGCCACTAACGACCTTGTTTAATGCATAATACAAACTAAGGTCTTGTGCCAGAGATGTGGAAGATTGCTAATGTAATTCTTGTAATTAAATCGACTGATTAATGCATTCCAGCAAATTTCTGACCCAATTCACGTACCATGGGAGTGTAGTAAATTCTTGACTCAACCCACGTATCACGGGAGTTGTAGTAGAAATTTCTGTCCCAACTCACGTAGCGTGGGAATGTAGTAAAATTTCTGTCCCAACCCCACGTACGGGGAATGTAGTGAAAATTTCTGTCCCAACTCACGTAGCGTGGGAATGTAGTGAAAATTTCTGTCCCAACTCACGTAGCGTGGGAATGTAGTGAAAATTTCTGTCCCAACTCACGTAGCGTGGGAATGTAGTGAAAATTTCTGTCCCAACTCACATAGCGTGGGAATGTAGTGAAAATTTCTGTCCCAACTCACGTAGCGTGGGAGTGTAGTGAAAATTTGGTGTGGTCATTTGTCAAGTTTAGTTTTTTTTATGAAGGACATGTCATGCATAGTTAAATTACTTACAAATTCGATTTATTATGAACGAATCTAATTTATATAACCCTGAACTAATATTCATATTGAAATTAGTGCTATTTTTTGATGGAACTTAATACAGTTATATTCTTCCAGCCATGGACCTGATTTATACAATTTTCTCAGCCTCTGAGAAATAAATTGCAGGTTTAATATCTCTTACAAGAATAAACAGATTCAAGTATAGTTCTAATGCTATTTCTACTTATGTTCTCGTAATCTTACTTCAAGGTTTTTCCCAGATTGAACATAATAAATTATATGGTAAATTTTACAGGGAATCTTATAAATACAGCCGTCAGCATTCTTGGAAGAATTTTGAGTCAAACTTTATTTTATTGTATCAAGATTTTTAAATACAACTTTTATTTTAAAATTCTTAAGTAGAGAAAGTATATCAAGAAGGTTCTCTTGTGAGGGTAGAACCGACCTATTCCTTTTTTTATATTTTTCTTTGTCTTTTTTTTTTAATTGTGAAATGCTTTTCTGGTAATTTTAAAAGATTTGTCAGCTATTTTTTTTCGGGTATTCTGGATCATTTACAATTTCATAAATCTTTAAACTTTCTTCAACAATGAAATCTGGGCTGCAAATGCACAGAATTCTCAGAAACATATACCTGTAGTGTACCTGGAGAGAGTTCTGGGGGTCAACGCCCACGCGGCCCGGTCTGTGACCAGGCTCATGATGGATCAGAGCCGTGATCAACCAGGCTGTTACTGCTGGGCCGCACTAATCCGACGTTCGAACCACAGCCGGCTGGTCAGGTACTGACTTTAGGTGCCTGTCCAGCACCTGCTTGAAGACAGCCAGGGGTCTATGGCTATCCCCTGATGTATTATGGGAGGCAGTTGAACGGCTTGGGTTCATGGCACTTATTGTGTTGTCTCTTATCGGCTAGTGGCACCCCATGCACCATCTGGGGAGTCTTTTGCTTTCGTAGGGAGTGATTTTCGCGTGTCAATTGGTATTAGTCACTCGAGGATTTTCCAGATGTATATAATCATGTATCTCTCCCTCCTCTGTTCTAGGGAGTACAGGTTTAGGAAGTTCAAGCGTTCCCAGTAATTGAGGTGGTTTATCTCAGTTATTTCTAGCTATGAAAAGTGCTTTTAGTTTTACAGCAACACTCCAGTCTAAATAGAACAAGCGACCTGAAGAGTGTCATCATGGTCTTGGCATCCCTGGTTTTGAAGGTTCTCATTATCCATCCTGTCATTTTTCTAGGAGTTGAAATTGATACAGTGTTGTGGTCCATGAAAATGAGATCCTCTGACATGATCACACCCAAGTCTTTGACATTATTGTTTCGTTCCATTGTGTGGTTGGAATTTGTTTTATACATCGATGAAATTTTAATTTCCTCACGTTTTCCATATTGGAGTAATTGGAATTTCTCATCATTGAACTTCATATTGTTTTCTGCAGACCATTTAAATTTTTGGTTGATGTCCACCTGAAGTCTTACAGTGCAAATCCGGGTATCATCTGCTAAGACACTGCACTGTGGCTTATATTCCTGTCTAAGTCTGATATGAGGATGAGGAACAACATGGGGAAGAGTAATGTGCCTTGTGGAAAACAATCTTTTCACAGTAGCCACCTCAAACTTCACTCTTTTTGACTACTATTTTTTGTGTTCTTTTTGATAGGAAATTACAGATCCATTTACCGATTTTTTCCAGTTGTTCCTTTATCCCGCATTTTGGCACATTACACAAAGGTCACATTTGTCAAAGGTTTTTGCAAAGTCTGTGTACAAACATATTACATCTGCATTCTGTTTGTCTTCTAGAGCACCCAGAACCTTGTCGTAGGGTCCAGTAGTTGGGAAAGAAAAGGAGCGACCTGCTCTAGACCCTTTGCCCTGGATTGTGTAACTGACGATTTATCTAAATGGGAAAGTGGTCTTGCTTCTTAAAACCCCTTTTTCAGAGACTTTTATGATATGGGATGTTTGTGCTATCGGTCTGTAGTTCTTTGCTGTTGCTTTAGTGCCCCTTTGTGAGTGGGGCTATGTCTGTTGTTTTAAATAACTGTGGGACGACCCCAGTGTCCATGCTTCCTCTCCACAGGGTAAAAGCACGTGATAGGAACTTCTTGTAGTTCTTGATTTAACATGAAGTTCCATGAGTCTGGGTCTGGGGTAGAGTGCATGGCATGTCATTTATCGCCTTTTCGAAGTCATTTGGCGTGAGAATAAAGAAATTTAACTCTGTCATTATGTGAAGAATAATAGTGGACATAAGAGCATTTTTTGTTGATTTTCTGTATTTTTGAATTTAAATTTTGGTTCCCCAATAATTTAAACATCCAAACAAACTAATGTGTTTTTTTTTCGTTCAAACTGGTCATTGAACATCGTCCACATATCTCGACCATTTTTCTTTATCAGGAAAAATTCTGTTAAGCAATCTTTCTTCAAAATATTTTAAGTACAAATTGCTAAGGACTGATGAAAGAGGATTTAACATTTGTCAGTATCTCAGGAGTAATGAAAATTCAAATTTTCCAAGTAATGATTGTGATACTTTAAAAATGGTAATAATATTTGAATGTTCTCTTAGAATTGTTAATTTAATATTATGATTGATAAAAATCATTTTGTTGTTTCCCAGGTGTGATAATGACGAGGTGACTTGGCTTCACCCAGGCGACTTCAGGGTGGACATGATGGTAGCACAGAACAAGAACAAACACTTTCATAATGGAATTCAAGTTACCATAAATACTGATACTCTGTTGAACCCTGAAGATTTTTCTCATGTTCTGGTGCACTTATATAAGTAAGTATAAAACTTCCAGTGATAATGCAGTACTAGACGTGTTATTTTGCTTAACAATGAAGCAGGTTCATATTACTTTTCTTTTCTACGTTATTGATGAATGCAGAATCATTATTTACAGTCATTCCCTTCATGAAACAAAACAATATAAACTGAAAAATATCAGGGACTTTTTTAAAATTTCGATTGCAGACAAATATCAGTAAAATTTTTTTTTAAAATTTAAAGAGAAAAAATAGTTTTTTTAGTTTAATTATTGTAAAAAAAATTTATTTTGGAGTTGAAAAGGTCAATTTATAGCTAATTCTTAAATTTTCATGTAAAAAATTGGTTTGAGAATGAAGTACCCAAGGAGAACCTCTACCATCTTATTTTTCTTCACTCAAAATAGCAAGTGTATGGTAATTGGGGACAAATTTTATAAAAATTTCCCTGTGCAACTGTTACTGTTATACCCTTCCCTAGAAAAAAGTATGGTCCTGTAACTTCGAAACATCGACAGCAAAGATTCTGGGTTCATGAAAATTTGTCACCAAATTTAAACGTAAAGGAATGTAAATTCAATGAATAGCTCAGGTTTCCTTTTATGAAAAAAATTTTTTAAGTTTTTTTCCCTGTAAAACACAAAACAAATTTCAGTTTACTTCTTCTCAGCAAATTCACAAAAAAATTACTGATCATCTTTCGGGGATAAAAAACCAGTAAGTTTAGCTAAGCAGAAACAACTTTGTCAATATAAAAAAATCCTTAAAAATCTTGTAATTACTGAGCCAATTCTTCTCAATAAAGTAAAAGCCCCTTCCTTTTAAACCAAAATTGTTGAAGTTTTTTTAAATATCTATTATGCCCCATACCCACCCTTTTGGGGTGGTAGTCAATTACAGAGGAAAAAGGGCCCGGGGGACGGGGCCCCCCAAAGTAATGAACCATTCACACTTTACATCTGTCACAATTGAAATTAGCAAAATCAGGTCATTGTTCCAGAATGGTTTGAAATATACAATGTAGATAAATACTTTGACAATGTAACATTTGAGGAGTTTGTCTCTGAAATTTATTAATTTTATCGCATCCCGTACAAAATGATGCAATGTGTGACAAAAGTCCTTGGCAACCTTTTCTTTCATTCGTTGTCTCTGTCGCCAGCCCGGCGGGCGGGTAGTGACATCCAAGAGTTTGCTTTATTTCTTGATGCACCATAGAATCTTGCTCCCCTTTTTGATAGAATTTGAAAGATGGACTGGGTGGTTTAGTTTCTAAGTCTTAATTAATAAAATTCAAAGAAGTTCTTTTCTTTTTTTGGGTTTTCGAACGCTGATGACAAGCAAAGATTGTGATTTACTCTTTTTTAGCCAATTTATCATTTTTTTTCGGCACTAAAACCCGGGGAGATGGGGTAACAAAGGTGACTGACTCGACTGTCACAATCCCACCTACCTGTGTCTGGTTCTGACAAAAGCATGCCAAAAATTATATTTAAATGAGATGAGGATTTAGGAGACGGACTCCAAATAAAATGTTAACCCTTTGATAAAATAACAAAAAGGACAATCCCTATGGAACGATACCCCAAAAAACCCCCAATAAAAGACGAGCTTACGACACGTTTTTGGTGACTTTGGCCCCTTTACAAAACACACTAAAAGGGGAGGAGCAGGAGGGGTATATATAGGCAGGAAGAGGTGGGGGTAGTAGTAGTGGTAGTAGTAGTAGTAGTAGTAGTAGTACAAGAATTGTATATAATACCGACAGGATGAAATGACACACGCACAACACCCGGGCATCCTCACCGTAGACGTTTCGCCATCCAGCCAGCCACTGGATGGCGAAACGTCCACAACAAAGACAACCAGACGCCGCACATGTGTCTAATTTCATCAGTAGTTTTTAGTAGAAGAAGAAGAGGTAGTGGTAGTGGTAGTGGTAGAAGTGGGAAATAAGGAAGACGAGCCAGTCAAATACAAAGGAAGGGAGCACTGCAAGAGAGCTAGAAACCCACAGAGGGAGAGCAAGCGCACCGAGGTGCGTGAAAGGGGAAGTGGTAAAAAAAAAAAAAAAAAAAAAAAAAAAAAAAAAAAAAAAAAAAAAAAAAAAAAAAAAAGGTGCTCCCCTTCCTTTGTATTTGACTGGCTCGTCTTCCTTATTTCCCACTTCTACCACTACCACTACCACTACCTCTTCTTCTTCTACTACAACTACTGATGAAATTAGACACATGTGCGGCGTCTGGTTGTCTTTGTTGTGGACGTTTCGCCATCCAGTGGCTGGCTGGATGGCGAAACGTCTACAGTGAGGATGCCCGGGTGTTGTGCGTGTGTCATTTCATCCTGTCGGTATTATATACAATTCTTGTACTACTACTACTACTACTACTACCACTACTACTACCTCCACCTCTTCCTGCCTATATATAGCCGTCCTGCTCCTCCCCTGTTAGTGTGACTTTGTCAATGGTCCAAGTCGGACCGAAACGTCGTCGTAAGCTTCTGTCTTTTATGTGCGGGTTATTTTTGTTTAACCTTAGATACTTGGAGACAAGAACTCAGCTGCAAGATCTAAGTGAGGCCATACTAATGATTTACCTGGAGTTTACCTGGAGAGAATCCAGGGGTCAACGCCCCCGCGGCCCGGTCTGTGACCAGGCCTGATGTATAGAGCAATAGTATAACTTCTAAATTCTTGATATAAAATCCCAGTAATTTGTCTTATTACGTACGCTTAGGCACTGCTGTCTTGGTTTTAGGTTCCTGCTTACCATATCTCCTAAGTCCTTTTTGCATTCTGTATGGCTAAGTTCTACATTATTTAGATTATAAGCGCCAGAGTTATGTACTCACACTTCGACAGAAAACCCCTGCACATCACAAATGTGACAGTTCATAGGAGAAAACAATGTCAGATCAATGAATCATCTCTAAGCAATGAGGGAATCTATTGTGAACAATAAACTGATCACCTGCCAGGACTTAAATGAACCTAGACTTATAGAATAACCCAAACAACTGTTGCTGTGTAATACTCCCTCTCGTTTATACTGTTATGATCTTATCATATCTGTCTTAAAGAATTGTGAATACAGGAAGGATGCTTCTCTACTAATTTATGTATGATGTTGGTCACTCCAGCTCTGTGACTCATGCAGTAATAGTGATAATACTCAGTTACACAGCCCATTTCTAAAATTCTCTATAATTTCTTGGAAAAATACTTATATCCCTCTTGTTTTCCTTTTGTTTAAAACTAGACTAATGCAGGGGAAACTCTCCCAAAATTCTGTCTGTTACACAAGAAGTAAGAGTCAATCTAGGGAAAATATAGGAAATATTATTAATTTTTATGTTACAGTGGTAGCGAGCCAGACAATTGCGCCGTACACTACCAAACCTGGTATATACAGCCTGGTACATACAGCTTAGAATATTTCAGCTTGGTATATACAGCCTGGTATATACAGCCTGGTATATACAGCCTGGTACATACAGCTTAGAATATACAGCTTGATATATACAGCCTGGTATATACAATCTGGTATATACAGCCTGGTATATACAGTCTGGTATATATATCCAGGTATATACAGCCAGGTATATACAGCCAGGTATATACAGCCTGGTATATACAGCCTGGTATATACATCCTGGTATATACAGAGATGGAACTAATAAAGTGTGTTAAAAAGGAGTGAACATGAGTTTAATAATATAATGTTAAATTATAAGAATGGTAATATCTATGATGGAATTTAACGAAAAAGTTAATTATAATTTTTGGTTTGGAGTTAATAAGAACATTATTTGAAGAGATGCAGTTTGGGAAGTAATGTTGCTGGTTTGCTGGTCATTATTACATATTGATGTCTTGGCCCTTCTAGACAAAATGTTTTTTAAAGCCACACCACTGGTGGGGTTTAAAACCGCGGTCAGAGTCTCAAAACACCAGTGTATGGTTAGTTTGCAATCTTTGTCATTACTATTTCGTGAGTCATTTTTTTGGCAAGAATCGATTGTCATGTTTAGGATGAACATTTCAATGTGGTCTACTGCGTGTTTTTAGTATTTTTGCCATCATTTTGTGAAGATAAAATTAATGTTTAGGGTTTGTCTTAATAATGGTTTACTGTTCCATGAGAATATTTGTAAGTCATTTTTGTGGGAATAATTAAGTACGTTTCACAAAAAATAAACAAATTCATAATTATTTAAAAAAACATATTATCTTGATTAAAATTTTAAGACAGTTGGAGGTAAATTTAATTAAATAGTGAAATTCTTAGCATCGTTAAAAATATCTTTACCTTATCCAGTGTGAACATGAGAAAAAATAAAATAATTAGTAAAGGGGTTCAGCTGAATATATTCTGGAATATGTTGACAAACATCTTCCTCATATAAATATGAATCTTGGTATAAACTTTTGTAGATCTGATACATTCTGATTTATTCTGGTCCCAGGTATAATTTGGCTTAGTGGAGGAATATTAAGTAATATCAGATGGTGCCACCAATAAACCTGTGACTTTATAAACGAAGGAATTTGGGTAAATTATAAAAATATATCATCCTAATAAATGCCGTCGTTATTTACGTCAGAATTTTTAAAAATTAAAAAGGGGCCCTTTAATTAAACAAACTTGAATTATCTAATGAAAGTAAAAAAATTTTAAAAATTTAAATTTAAAAAACTCTGTTTCACATTTATCAAAAGCAAGGTGGAGAGAGGACCCAAAATTTCTTTTTTTAAATTGGAAAAAGAGTTCATTTTTTCAGTTTTTTTACAAAAATGACAACCATGTAAACCGTTCCACAAATGATCATGCCCGCTTGCCCTGGGGAAGTTTTTTAAGACATTCATCACCAAGACACTCACATTTTCTCAAGACACTCCTCGATTACTCAAGACACTCATCCTTTTTCAAAAAACTCATACTTGCTCAGACATCATCAAATTACTAAAAAAAAAACCCCAAAAACTTTCCAAAACACTCATCACTTTTCTCAAGA